GAGCTTTTGATTTTTCGTCAGGAGTTTGTGTGTCAAACTTTCACGTGAGTAGTGTCTTCTCAGCACACTGCCTGAAGGATAGAGCATGACTGAGGCCACCTTTAGATTGGCTCTTCCAGAGCAACCACCCACGTCCAAATGCCATTTTGCTTTCGTAGTGAATTCAGGCCCTTAGACAGTTTGCAGTCCATCTTTTCACCATTGTCTCAGCCGTTTCACACCCGTACAGAGGAAACACTACTTTCACTGATGGGATGTTTTTGGTGTTGGCCGGCTTTGTGGCCTTGTTGCTTGTTTGTTTTTTGTTTTGGTGTTTGGTTTTTGTTTTGGCTTGTGTTCCTTTCCCATCAATAAGTTATATTTCCTTTTCTTCAATGATGACCTGGGCATGCCGCCCACATGGCGTCCGCACTCGTGTAAAAAATTCTTCAGGTTCACCCCTTCGTCGATTTGGAACTGGAGAAGCAACAAGCAGTGACATCGAGTGGTTTGAAGTGGCTCCTTGCAAAAGTCAGACTGTGCCAGGCTGGAGTGGAGAATGGAAACGGACAGAAAGTAAGGTTTTGTGTTTCACAACAAATTCCAAGGAAATTTGCGCGCAATTTGCACAAGTGTTTTGGTGAGTGTGTGTGCGCAGAACAGCATGCGCCTTTCTTGAGCGTGAACTGGCAGTCAACAGGATTTTACAATGAGGTTTTGGCAGGAAAGGTTCTTAGCTTCGCTAAGGCGGCTTTGGTGTTTGCGCTTCTTTGAAGGAAGTTGCGCAATGACGGCTTACGTGCGTGCGACCGGTCTTTTTGGGGCTGGGGACTCGTGCGTGGTTTCGACTTGGAGTTCGTTCCTACTAAGTAGGATGCAGAGATTCGTATCACCGCGCCGGAGCCATGGTTCAAAGAAGACACCTGGTTTGATAGCAAAGACGCGGATAGCTGGCAATGTTGGATTTCGTCGGAGGGATTCTGGTTTTCGGAATGGGATCCGTGGTTTGCAATGTTGTGTTGATCATCTGCATTCTGTGGATGAAGATGCGAGTGGAATCCGCTCAGGCGGATATGAAGTGGAATTGGGATGGAGAGATTTTCTTGTCGTCCAAGACGCCAACAGTGTATCACATTTCAGAAAGTTGCGGTCGCTCGAAGAAAACGAAAGTGCCTGCAAGAAACTTTAGAGTTTGCAAGGATTGTGCTGGCAGAGAATTCTTTAAGAACCTCCGAAAACAGGATTCGACTGTGCACGGCTGAATCTATGTGTACTGATGCGACTTGGAGCTGCACCGGTGCTGGTACTTGCTATGCTATGCATGGTCTTTTGATGTACTTTTCCAAATCACATGTCTTTTCGGCGTGCTCTGTCGAAAGGGGGTGTGAAAATGTATAGTGGGTACGCCAGAGCATTGCCCAGAGCATTGTTAGTATGGTGTTGGAATATGATTTCGGGTCTCCGTGACCTCGTTGATGGAACTCAGACCTCCGTGCCCTCGTTGGGATTGTTTGAAGAATGATTGAGATACCATCGAGGGATGGTATATATGTGTCTGAAACATCTGCCCCATGCCATCGAAGGATGGCGTTTGCGTTTGAAGTCATTTGAAGGGTTTTGGAATGAATCATCGATGGATGATTGATGGAATGCATGTTTTTTGATCCACGCATCATCGCGGGATGATGCTATGTTTGATGAAATGTACGGTTTGCACCTCACATCATCGAAGGATGATGTTTGGATTGGATTCGATATTTTGCTCAATCGTCCTTTCGGACGATTCGGAATGCAGTGCCACACACATCATCGATGGATGATGCCGGAGTTAAGTGCAGGATGGGTTGGTCTACTTGGTTAGTTGATCACCTTTTGGGTTTTGGTTGGACCCCTTTGTTTGGCTTCCTCCCCAGATGATGACACGTGTGATCCCAATAAGTACCATCATGGTACGTCAGAGGGTCCACACGACCTTTGTTGCTGAGAAGGATCACGTCTGATGGGGGGGAACACAAACCTTTTGGTTTGTGGGCCCCGGTTTCTTTTGGATCAACTTTCCATAGCAAGACTAACTCACTAAAGAGTTTTGACTGGAATTGTGTGTTTTGAACGAGGGTTCGAAGCCACCGTTTGAATCGGTCGAAGCGCCTGTCAGGAAGGGCTCAAGCTCAGGAATCAGTGTTTAAAGACAGGTTGCACACTTGTAAAGATGCACTCTGGCACTTACCTTTGTGTTTGTGGAACGAGCGAAAAGTTGGGATTGCGTGCGTGCACTCGGACTCGATCGACGTGGTTGCGTGTGTGTTCGCTGTCGTGCGTAACTTTCGCATTGCCTCATTTCCTGACATAGGGGAGTCGCCTCAAGTTTCCATTCACTTCATGTATCACCTGGAGGCTTTGGTCTTCCACCTGTGTCCTTGTGACTTGAGAGAAAACAACCTGGAAGTCCAGTTTGAAAGACTACCCAGCAGAGAAGAATCGGATGTAGAACCTTTCAGCATGAAGGAACAGCCTTTTTCAAAATATCCAAAGAAAGCGAATCTCCCAGAGCCTTCTTCAAATCTGAGGTAAAATTACGTGAGTTTTGACCGTGTACGGTAATTTAAAAACATGTAACAGCTGGCTGCAGCCAGCATGACTCACCATGTGCAGTGTAAAGCGCGACTCAGACGATGGACGGGCGCACACATATCGCACGACGGCGCCCAAACTGCCGCGCTTCGCAGCGGATGTAGAGGGGTGGTGTCCAAAGACGTGAAGACGTTTTGCGACCTTGACAAACAAAACAAACCTATTTCAGTATGATGCAATGATGTATATATATTCACACCGCTTCGCGGTCGAAACCGCCCGCGCAGAGTAAAGGGAAAACAGACACGCGCAGACATACGTAGACATCCATCCATGCATACAGACATACAGACATTTACACACATACAGACAGACATGCAGACAGACAGACAGACAGCCAGGCAGGCAGACAGACAGACAGGCAGGCAGGCAGACAGACAGCCAGGCAGGCAGGCAGACAGACAGACATACACACATACATACATGCATGCATACATGCATATTTACATACATACATACATACATGCATACATGCAGCAACCTGCGCTCGCGGAGCCGGGAATTACCAATTTGCGCCCTCGGAGCCGGGAGGATTAGTTACTGTAACCGGGCTCAAGCGTGAAGAAGCGCTATGGCCCTATCTAATCACCAGCCTTTTCACCGAGGGTTCTGTCTCAGTGTGTCTGTCTCGGTCTCGGTCTGCCCATCTCGGTTTGTCAGTCTGTGTCTCGCTTGGGAAAGACACACATGGATGAACACACCCACGATGTCAATAATACAGCATCCCCGGGTTGTGCATACGTCCGCGATGTCAAAAATGCGGTTTTCCCCGGCCGGCGTAGCCGGCATCGCCAACGCATGCTGCAAAAAGATATGCAATTTTATCAACTTTCAAAAAACACTGTAAGTCACAGCATTTTCTGAGCAAACACGGGCCCCCCGAAGCTAAAACTTAAGATTTATCTAGCAGATTCCTTGCGATTTCTTGGGGCTTACACAACGCCCTCGGCACCTTCGGTGCGGGCGGACTTTTGTATTTTTTCACGGACTGAGAACGAACTTTGTGCAACAAAAACCTTGGAACATAAGCCGCAAAAAATTGTCGAAAGTCCACACAATCCATTAAGAAAACACAATTAATCAATCCATCCAAAACATGTGTTGCAAAATGTTTACCACCTAGGACCTAGAAAATGCGATCGTAATGCGAACACCAGAAAAGGATAATGAATACTTGCTGCCTTGGTGCAGGTTTCCTTTCCTTGGCACAGGCATGAATTGATGCACTCACACAATGCAAGGCATTTTCAATGAACGCCTGCCATAAGTTCATCATGGCGGAATGGCAATGTTTTTTCAAAAACGGCATTATGAAGGAACTTCGATCAATCGACAATTCTTTGGGGTCGTCGTCACAATCAAACTTTGAACACACATGGACTGACATGAACAGTTTTGTTTTTTGCATGATGATGGCATCAAAGACCGTCATAAATGTCCAAAGGAATTTCCTGCTGGTTTGAGTCGGTCTTGACGTTTTGTGCCTTCAAGTGGTCATTCGGATACATGATCGCTGTTCCTTGAGTTGGATCAATTGGGTAGGTTGACCGGTGAGAAGTGTGCCCGACCAACAAATCTACCCGCTGCACGCTCGATTGACCACTTTCTGGTGGGAGGAGCGGGATTCTTTTTTTTTGCAAGAAATTGGCAGAATTGTTTCCAGGGCCAGTTTCCTGGGTGGGGTTGGAAATTGAGACAACCAACCATTATGTCGCAAACCTGAAAGTTTTCTCGGAAGTTGGTGAGAACCTGAATCCGTTTTTTTCTTTTTATGTTCCACAGGATTGAATCTGTGCTTCAGAGGTGGGCCCAAATCATCGTCCGACCACGGTGCAGAGACAACCCCTCATCATTTTACTTTACGCCTCTTTCAGCACATGTTCGTCTTCATCACAGTCTCTTTGCTTTTGTTCCAGACAGGTTGCTTGATTCACCAAACCAGACCGCAAACCAAAGGCAGGTTGGGGACTCCGGTGTCATTCTCCGAACACTGGCGTCCAGCATCATTACCATTGTTGAAGACATGCTCTCAAATCTAGTCTTCAACAGGACCTCTTGGCAAGACCACTGGGAATTCCACTTGCGACTTTCAATCTTTGAACCAACACTATTTTGAAGTTACAACACCAAACACCAAGCTGTCGACCCATCGACCAGCGGCCCGGGCCCTGCGGCCACAGCGGCCTCTCCAGGAGGTGGGTGGAGACCATGGCCCTCACGGCCATGTCGCTCTCGAGAGGTGAGGGCACCGGTGAATCGGACGCAAAACGGTGAAAGATCTGAGATGTGGAAAAACCGATGTATTTAGTAAACCATACTGAGTGCCCATGGCTTTGAATGCACTGGATCCAGAGAAAATAGGCAATTGGATATTTCTTCTCGCTTTGCCATGTGCTGCTTGGGGAAATGGTGTCTTTCAACAGGACAGATGAACATGTTGATGGTCGTCTTTTCACACGTCTGGAAGAGTGAGTATCGCGGACGCCTTGTGACGTGACGGTCTCTTGACTCCGAAACCCGAAGCCAACATAGGAACTGTTCGAGTATCTCAAATAAAGATGTTTGTTGGAGGGACCGGGCATGGTCCGATTCGTTGGACAACTCTGGCTGGTGCCTGGCTCGACGTGCCCGGCTCGTGCCGCTGTCGAGATCCCTTGCTGAACGGCAACGAGATGGCCGGGCTGCGAGCCTTCCTTCGAAGCCTCTTGGGCCAGCGAGATGGTGGTGGGATGGTGGGATGGGACTTTGACATCTTGTGATGACTGGTGAGAGGAGGCATCTTTTGTGGAAGCAGAGTTCTCCTTCATTTCTAGTATGACCTCTTCATTGGCTCTCCAATCTCTTCATGATCTCTCCACCAGGATTTCCAGGAGCGGTTTTTGCATTTTGTGGTGCTGAGAGTTGCCTCAGTGCTCTCAGAGACCTGAACCAACAACTGACAGTAGCCATGGCAAACTCTAGAGTCCTTATGGACCGAACCGTCAACAATCAGGTCAACGGGGAGGCACCTGCATGCTTCCTCTATCTTATAAAGCTTATTCTCATGGAGTTTGTTAAGAGGAGCTAGGCTCCAGGCTCTGGTCTCTTTGCTGGATGTATCTGAAGATCTTTTCAAGAGCGTATAGCACGAAAGCAAAGGGGCCTCCAAGGAGTGTGCGTCTCTCACAGCGCTCGCTGAGGCCGATGTGGAAGTCTCAAGGCTCGGTTGGTGGCCAGGGATGTTTCGCTGGGCCCTTCGCTCGACCAAAGCCTGGTGTTTCTGTGTGGAGTTCCAGTCACGGCAGCGGTTGGGGATCTCTCCCAATGAGTATCATGTTGGGTTTGGTGGCAGAGGGTATTGAAATTCTTTTCTACTCCAAAGACAACTTTAAACCAAATTGCAACATGGACTGAAACTATTTGACAAGCTACGCTGAGCTGGGTGAGTTGCCCTTGAGACCACTCATTGACCATTTGAAATGATCAATTGACACCTCCCTGAGGAAAAAAACATAGAAGACTAACAGAAAACAGAATACCACCCGACGTGCGACATGCACCGCCTTTGTGTTCTTCTCCTGCACCTACCATCACCGTCTCCATCACCCCGCCGGTTCGCTCCGCGCCGGTGCTGCACCGCCGCAGGCGGCCTTTGCGGAGCTGGACCGGCACGACGTGGGGCACCTCACCAGCGACGACTTCATCCAGGCGCCGCGGGCGTCGGGAGGACGGGGACGGGATGCGGGAGCCTGTGGAAGCCTGTGCGAGCCTGTGGATCGGTGAGGTGTGTCGATGATTTGTGGAAAGCTGACCGGCGTTCCTCTTGGTGTTTGCACCGTGAAGAGAGATTTGGTGATGTGATTTAGGCCGGACCCATGGCTGAAGGGTTGAAGATCGTTGAAGTATGGCGGGAAGGTCTTGTGTACTTCGCCGACTCAGTGTGAAAAGACGAGTGAGGTTTGTCCTTTTTACGCAGAAAGACTGCTATCCTGAACCCAGTGGTCCTGAACTGTGGTCGATCAACTGCAAGGGATCTCAATTGATTCTGATGCATCAAATATGATGGATGACGTGTTTCCTTGTTCTAGTTCTTCTTCGATTATTTCTCTTTTCATTCTTTGGTTTCTTCGTCATTCAACTGGGCCTGGCGGCCGAAGAGCTGCTAAAACCAGCTGCTTTGTTGGATCGATGGTGATCGTGCGACTCGTGTCGTGTGCCGCGCGACGACTCCTGTCAGGGCTTGCAACGCTTGGGCTACACCGAGGATGGGGTGGAAATTGGAGCTCACCAAAGAACTGTGCCAAGCTATTTTGGGCGAGTTCAGCAACAACCCCCTTTGAGTCAACAAACATCACCACGCAGGACGCTGCTGGTCTCTTCCGCTCCATCGATGGCGCCAAGTCCGGGCTGCTGACCATGAAGTGCGCCGATGATTGGATTGGGGGAACCGTGGAGTGGATCATCCAACCGAAGCGATTCGCAAGCCAATCTGGTTCTTTTACGTCATACCCGATGATCAAAAGAACAAAAAGGGAGAACAAAAAGAACAAAAAGCGATGTTTGGATCATGTCATGAAAGTCATGAAAGTCATAATTTGTTTCACTGAACTCTGAAACTTTTGTCCCCTGACAAATCCTCATACCTTGGAGACATCGATGCGAGGAGCTTCATGAGCTGCTTGGGGGACCGGGTCTTCGATGCCGAGGCTGAGAGGCGTGTCTATCCCGGGGTGTTGTGACCAGGGATAGAGCAGGTGTCTCGGTGTTTTTTCTATGCTTCCTGCAGAGCTTCAGAGGGCCCTAGATCAAGGCCGCTTCAAAAGACAAGCTGTGAGAGGTTCCACGTTGTTGGGAAGAATCCATCATCCACCACCACCTGCTATATCAAACCCCCAAAAGACATCTCATTCTAGAATATTCAAAAGACAAGCCATTCGTCACTCCGCCTTTTGTCTCCGCACCGGTGGTGAGGCCAGGCACTCCCGCAGGCGCCGCGTGTCGGCCGCTGGCGCGGAGCTCCAGCGAGGACGCCTGGAAGAGCGCGCGGATCCCCAAGACGCCGTGCGGGCGCCCAGCTCGTGACATGTCTTTCGAAGAGCGGTGCAAAGGATTATTGTTGATCACATGGGCTTGTGGTCAAGGCGGGATAGCGTTGATGAGGTTAGAACAGTTGATGAGGTTGGAAGACTTGGTGTCTTGATGTCCCCCCAAACAGAAAGAGAGTTGACGGGATTTCTTCTCTAATTTCTTAGCCAGGTCTAAAGTTTGGACACAGGATTTCGACCAGACCGATCTCATCTCCAGGACCAGTAGCCCCAACTTGCTGACGAGCTCGCCAGTGGGTGGAGCGTTAAAGCCGCCGGGCTGCAGGTGGCGGGCACCAACGCAGGTGGGTGGGTGGAATGTCCTGAACCATCCTTTGAGCCTGAAAAGGGACGTCATGTAAAGGACTTGAGGTCACCCGAGTGAGTGGTGTCCATCTTGAAAAAGGAGACTTTTGTGGAACATTGCCAGACAGGCGCCGTAAAGAGTTGAAGGTGCTGGTAGGTGTTGACTCATGTTGAATCCATAGGTTTTTGTGACCTCAGCCTCTTTGCAGTCAAAAGGGCGCCTCACAGGCGGTGGCCGAACCGGGATCGATCTGGATGGTTTCCAGTCGCCAAGAGGCGATAGCTGTTGGGATATGGGGTGAGGACATGCACTGAAGAAACGACTGGGGGCAGGTGGAACGCAAATGCGAACATCAAAAAGATGATCCCGGGGGTCATGATTGCGTTCCTATTGCGACTGCTACACTGTACACCGAAAGCCTTCCGAGAGTCACCTTCCTTCGGTGCCTCTGCAGAGTGCGTGCTGCGCGGCATCGTGCGTAGCGCACCTCTCCCGAGGAGTGGATCGGCGCTGCGCAGCTCCACTCCCGAGAGCCTTTTGGGCAAAGAGTTGAGTGGTCACGGGAGGGGAGGAGGAGTGCTTGGAGTGGTGCGCCAGGTAGTACGGCAGGGAATGAGGGAATTAAACTAGAGACTTCTTCAGGATCCGTTCTCTCATTTCTTATGGGTTTATGATGGCTTATGGCAATGGGTCTTTTTGTTTTGGATGGTGATGGCGAGAGTGAATAAGGTATATCTCTTGAGTGACCGCTTTGGGTGTGGCTTGCTCTTCAGGCTATCCTACTACTGGGTGTCCCATGTCACACCAAGAAGTGTGTTTCAAAAGCCTGGTAATGCCTTTTCAGGTCTTTTGGGCCGTGTTTTAGAGAATCGTGGGGAACTCTGGCTCACAAACCCAGGTTGCTGCTAGGGTCTTGCTAGGGTGATGGACCTGTTTCAGGCGGCAAACCAGCCCGCCCGACTCGAAAACGCTGATACATCTGAAACGCCCAAAAGGGACGAGTCTTAGTTTCTCCCGTCAGATGGCAATCCAATCCCAGTCCAATTCCACAACGACTCACACCGTGTCGCTGAACTCAGCGTGAGTTGCAGCCTGGGCTGAGGTTTGTCCATGCCTCACATGCCCGTGGCCGGTGCGGATCTGCCTGGGGACCTGAGAAGTCAAAGTTAAACAAATCAGTCGAAGATTAATTTTTTGGTTTTCGGTCTTCATTTTTTTAAAATTCTCGTGTCTGAAGCCTCTTCTTGTGCTGGTGGACGGGTCCCTGTGACGGAATATTTTCCGATGGGGGGGAAGTATGACAAAGAAACGCTTTCACTTGATGGAGATATGCAGAGTTCCTATCGTTCCTGCTCGGGCTTTCGACGGCGCGAGATGTTTTGTCCACGGGTTGACCCACACGCACTCAAGGTCTCAAGGTCATTTTTGTCTATTCTTTTAGCTGCAATTGGCTGATGCTACCCAAGGCTAATGGTGGATTCAGATCTTCAGTCATCTTAACGTGAATGCCGACATGCATTTTTCTTGAGCCCGGGTCAAATCAAAGAAGCGCCTGGCCCCTGCAATGGCCATCGTGTAGCTGGCTGGGCTCTTGGGGTAGTCTTGCACTTCCACTAGCTTTGAAGGGTGATTATGGCCTGGCATCAAGCGGTCTGGTAGGCCTCTCATGACCAGACTCGCAACCCAAGAATGGCAATAGAACCATCTATCGCATCTATACTGTATACTGACCTTTGAATTCAAACCCTTCTCAATTCTACAGAAGAGTCTTATGAATCTTAGGACCCGTGGTCGTTTCTTTTTGTACCGCGCTCTTCAGGCTCTACGCGCGGATGAGCCGCGTGGAGGAGCAGGTGGCGGCTGAGCAGCGGCTGCGCTGCGAGACGGAGCAACGCCTCACGCAGCATTTGAACAGCTTGGTAGGTCGGGACGGAAGGGGTGCCGATGACCAGTGAACGGAAGGGTTGGAGAGTTGGAGGGGCGAAAACGAACGGAAGAGGACAGGTTGAAATACACACTATGGTGGGTGGGCAACACAGGTTGCAAGGACAGGAAGGTTGTAAAGGCGATCTCCTCACACCACGAAGCACTTCTCACTATCACTAGTCACTAGACCACTGACAATAGGAACAGCAGAGAACAAGGCAGCAGCTTCTCCTGTGCCTGCTCTGTTTTCTTGGCCCGGCTCGCACTTGTCGTACAAGAAAACCAGCTCTCAGTTAGTCTCAGTCGGTAGGGAGGGACAGGGGCACCTCCCGGCTCCACCTGTGCCGTCACTCCTGTACCGTCCCGGTCTCTACGGAAGGCGTCAGCATCTCAGAGCAGTTGGACGTCCTGCGAGAGCAGCTGGTTGAGGAGCGGATGCAACGGCAGGCGCTGGGAAGATGTGGGAAGTTACTTGGTGTGCTTCGCACGGCAAACAGGGGGTACGCATCCCGCATCCCTCAAAGTGCATTGAATGAAAGGTTTAGCAAGACATGTCTTTTGCACCAGCAGATTCTGTATCACCTACTGTAAAGGATCCATACACGAAACGCCTGGAGTCCTCTGGAGTTTGTAGCAGTAGAGATTTGTCGTTTCACTGGACAAAGCACCGAAAGCACCAAGTTCATCTTCATGAACGTCACACAATGAACCTGAAGTACCAAATTGATGACATAATTCTGGTCTTTCAACAAAGAAGTACCATAGTCATGAGATGTCATGAGTCAAAACAGACACCTCAGTCTTCTTTCTCTCCCAATGGAACTCCACTTCCTCCACTTCAAAGGTTCCGCGAGGCTGCGCGAAGTGCCCGGCGTGCGTTTGGGGCTCTGCAGGTGGACATCACGGCCCTGCGTTCGACCCTCGAGACCGTGAGGCCAAGCGGGCCGAAACCCGCTGGCCGCTTCGCGGACCCTCGGCGAAGCCGGATGCGAACCCCTGCTTTTTGGGTCTCTTGGGTCTGTTGGTGACACTGTTTTGGAGAGTGAGAAGTATTGGTGACATGGTTTTGGAGGTGCACCAGTTTTCATGAACAACTTATTGTACGTAGTTACTTTTGGGAGAGTCCAATTCTGCGCCAGATGAGATGGATGGATGGTTTTGTTTCTACCAGGCTGGACCTTGTTTTGGGAGCAGGTCCACGGGCCCTCCCTCTTTTTGGGTGGTTTTGATCTTCTGGGTGTCGATGACACGTGACCCCATCCCTAGGTCCCGCCCCCCATCACCGAGCTCAGAGCTCACGTGACGACCGACGCACCGGTGGACACCGTGTCGATGACCCTCGTGGCAGGTCGATGGCCCTGCGCTCGGTCCAGGAAAATCTGGAAGAGCCACTCGGCCAGTGCAGGTCGGTCGGTGGGTGGCTGGGAGGAGTCGCTTCAGAGAGCACGTGGTTGAGTGGTGGTGGGAGTCCACTCTCATGCAGGCGGCAATAAGAGATCATGGATGATTTGCTTCGGACCTTTATTCGTATTTTTTTCGTCAGTTTCATCCAGTTTCTGTTCTATTGGTTGGAGTGGTGGTGGGTTGTCAGTTTCTCGGCCTTGCTGTGTCAGAAACCAGTGACTCTATGAGTTTGACCTTGTGAGAGGATGTAGAAGCCAACTTGCCCAGCCAAGATTCCTCCTGCTTGAAGGGCGTAACTCAAGAACTTGTCATCGGGGAAGCGGTGAAGGGCAAATCAAGGCCTCCAGCTCCTCCAGCTCAAGTCGTGACGCTTCCGCCACTGCGTGGCACGGAGTCATCCTTTCAGGTCGTTTCATCCAAGCTTCTGCATATTGATGTTGGTGACCCAAAAGTAACCCACCCACTTTTGGACCCAAAGACCCCACCTTCGTCGGGCACATACCGTGGGCACCACGGGCTGCACACACTGAGGTGCGTGAAATCGGAGGTGGACAAGTCCATGGGTGAGCTGCGCCTGTCGGGCCCACGGCGGCGTTTGCGTGGGGCGGCGAAAGGGAGGATGAATTGCTGAGGATGTGATTTTGATTTACTCAAAAAGGCACCCCGACAACATGTAGAAGGCTGATCTTCACTATCATCAACATCCTCAAGAAGTCCTGTTTAGCAGGATGGATGTTTTTGGTGGTTTGGAATGCTGGTCAGTGTGATATTGACATCGGCTACAGCAGAGCAGACCTTCCAGGTCTTTCGAGGAGAACAACCTCAAGAAGAGCCCCGAGATCGAAAAGCTGGGAAGCCCGGGGAACTCCCCAGCACGCCGGACGCGTGGCCGTTCCGTCGTGGGTGCCGGACGACGGGCTATATCAGTTATTTCTTCTTTTTGCTAAGGAGCTCGATTTCGGGAAGAGTAGGGTGGCTCTAGTGAATGTCTAGTGAAGCTGGTTGGTTCATGTTTCGAAGCCGTTCCAGATACAGTCTCCACCTGGATGAGGTGAACACTCGCAAACCACACGGCATCCTCGAGAGTCAACGTGCGTCGACTCGTGCGATGACTCGTCCCCCCATGGGCCGACCCGTCGACCGAGGCTGGACCAGCTGAGTCGCTCGGTGGAGGGCCGGCTCTCGGAGCTCGAGCGCTCCACGCGCAGTGCCGCGCCTTGGCGGAAGGGACGAAGGGACGACGTGGAGGTGGTGGGCACGGGGGGAGGTGGGGGACGTGAGGAAGACTCCAAGTGGTTCTGAAACCTTCACAGCCCAGACCCCAAGTCATTGAAGAGGCACCACACTTGGGTTTTGGTCTATCTCGCTGGAAAGAAAACATGAAATGACGTTTTTGTTGGCTTCCTCACGTGGCAGTTCACACGGAGGCCCCTCCGGCCGGCCTCTTAAACATGTTGCAACCGCTGCGATTCTGTCTGCGATTCTCCGCTTTTCGTCCTTTGAGCCGCCTGGTGATGACCCTCAGGTCATCGTCGACCCGCTTGAAAGGCCGGGCTTGATTGTGGGGAATGAGAAGGAAAAACAACGGCAGGTACCAAAAAGTGGAACAGACGAGGGAACCAAAAGACAACAGAAGAGGGAGCAAAAGTCTACATGTTTTTCTTCTGTTGTCTTTTTTGAATCTTTGGGTGCGCGGAGTGTCACGGCCGCACCGTACCGTTCCGCGTACTGTTCCGCGCCTCCTGGCCTTCCCCGCCAGGCGCGGAGGGGTCGAGGAGCGCCACGTCGAAGAGCTCCAGAAGTCGAATCGGGCCTTCGAGGACGTCCAAAACGTCCCAAAACGAGTCCTTGGGGCGGTGCGAGGGCGGTTTTTGGGCACGGCTTTTTCGGGTGGAAGGGGTTTGGGCTTTTTGGTGGTTCGGGGTGGTTCGTTGGATGAGTGGGTTGGCTTGGTGATCGGGCCGAGTTATGGCTCGATTGGTGCGAGCGGTCCAGGAGCGGCTGGACCTGTTGAGCTCCAACATGGATTTGTTGACCTCCAACGTCGAGTGCCTTGGTGGCAACCGAGGGAACAGGAGATGATGGCAGGGCGATCTGATTTCAGCAGAAAGGGAGTTCCCCTCCTGTGTGATGTGACGAAATTTCATGGAAGGATGTTATAGCCTTTGATGAAGAAAGGTTTCTCGGGCCTTGGGCCCACATCACTAAGCAAAGCGTTTTGCTGCAGTGGAGTGTTTAGCGCTTCGCATGCAGGTTGCAGGCAAAGCAGTCGCTGCAGCTGAAGGAGGACGTCAGTGCTCTGCAGTGCGCAGACATCAAGGCGCAGCGCCGGTTGATGAAGGTGGTTGGATTGGTTGTGGAGGTGAGCTCATGTTGGATTTGGTTGCATGGTCAGGCCGATGAACAATGCAACGTACGTACGAGCTTTATTTAGAACACAGAAGAAAACCATGGCAGCTCCTGAAGTGTCAGATTCTGACTGTGTCTCACTGGTAGGTGCCAGGAAATGGACCAAATAGACTGAAGTTCCTCACTGTGAAAAGACATATGGAGGACCATGGACTACATTGGTATGAGACATGGCTTCAGCTGGTAGATCTTGGACTTCCTGCCCATTGAACAAAGCATCAAGCATTGTAGAGCTGACGTTCTAAGGTTTCTATGCTGCACAAACGTGATACATGCATGGCAAATTTTAGTCCATACATTTTCCAGTTCCCAAGGCTTTTCCTGCGATGCGGTGGCTGCGATCTGCTCGAGTCATCGCTTTGGCTCCGAAGTTTTCTCATCCTTCAAACCGCCCTCACCTGGTGCACTCGACCGTGTGTGCCACGTGGGTGGACCATCGCTGTGAGGTTCACGAGAACGGGGAGTCGACCAGCTTCGAAAAGGTCCAGGAGACCTCGACGGGTCGAACGGGGGTCGAACGAGGTTCGAACGAGGGCAGGACGCGGATAACTCGGCCTAGGCAGAAGGGAAGGATTTTCCCACTTGAGTTGGAGGTGCGTGTTTGGGCAGTTGATTTTGTACTGTTGTACTGTGTCTTGAAAGACCCAAGCCTGGGAGAGCTTTTGAGGTTCTGATGACTGATGTAGCTTGGACGAGTTGCTGGATGTTTTGCTGTGTTGGACCAAGTGGAGCGAGGGTACGGTACACAGGTTTGCAAGAGATCGCTTCAATGGCACCGATGCACGCTGACGGGTTTGTGTCCTCAGCAAAAGCCATGCAGGCAAAGAAGACTCAACCTTACAAGACAAACACCCTTAGGATCTCCATTGAATGCAGTTCTTTGCGACCTCTTCCATCCTCCTCCATCCTATTTCCATCTCTTGCCGGTGGCTCGGTCCTGGCCGCCTTCGCCAGGAGTACGTCCGCGAGAAGATGGACCGGCTGCGCGTGGAGTGGAGTGGCACTCTGGAGGACGGGGCGGCGGCGTCTCCGGACCATGGGACCCGTGGTGGCACGGAAGGGTGGAACGACTGGGAGTCAGGGGGGTTTCAGGGCCCTTTTTTTTTCTCAGGTATGATGGCGCGTCACATGGCCTCAAGAAGGGAACGCCCCCCCCCCTTTGCGTGTGAAGCCTTTCAGGCAACTGACGAGGAGCCCGGGATCGTACTCTGCCGTCAACCAGACCATTGGGTGAAACTTGGAAGTACCCCAAATCCACCTGTTTCAGACCAGGCGTTTTTGCATCGATCATCACTGATGTCAGGAGGAACGTGCTCGCACCACCGAACGCTCCTCAGCGCTCACGAAGGCACTGACGCAGGACGTGAGACGGGAAGGGACGGGGGAGAGAGGAGAAATGGAAGGAAAGAGAGGAGGAGAGAGAAAGAGAGAAGAGACATGGTCCCTGGCTTCTGTGCCTTGAAAGAGCGATTTGATGATCAAAGCCTGGAACCAATAGATGGTTCTGCTCAGTTGGAATTTCAGCCTTTTGAACTTCAACTAGCTCGCTTTCTTCCGCACCCTGTTCTGAAACCTCAGAACCATCCTCTCTCAGACACTGCAAAAGACTCGTTCTCACTGAGCCAAACGCCGTGCACTGCAGGAGTTCGAGCGGAGCATCGTGGCGCAGGCCGTCGCAGAGGCACCGCCACTGCGCGGCGGGTCGTGCGGTGCGCAGGGGTGGCAGAGGAGGAGCAGGATGATGAAGCTGCATTTTCTGGAGACGGACACAGAATGGTGGCCATGGGGTGAGCGTGTCTAGGACGTGAAGAGCTTCTCAACATTTGCGGTGTGCGAGTGGCTTTGCAGAGGAACTTGGAACCCGTCAAAAACCGGTACAAAAAGAAATCACCAATCAAGGGGTGTCTGTTTGAATGTGGTGAGCGCGGCTGGCCCCTGAGCGGGCTGTTCTCAGATGCGTTGGGAGGCTACGTCACCTGGGGAGACTGATTTCGCCTGTGAGCCTTTCTGTCCAGGCAAGAACCGAGGCCCGTGCGGCTGTCAGCGATGCTAATCCTGGGCTACAGCAGGCATCGCGAGAGCCGCGACTGAGCGATCATGCCATTTTTTGGGTATCGGTATCGATGCGTTAAAACAGTTTAGCATCGTTTAGGTTTCTTTCAAGTCAGGGCTGGCGGTCGATTTTTCATCGACTCTGCAGAACAGAAGGCACTTCTCCTTGGGGATGAATTGAGTTCAGGGGGCTGTAACACTCATCTCTTCCTGAAAAGAAGAGAAGAGAAGGAACCAAATCCGAACTGCACTCCACCTCTTCACCCCGGAGTCGTTGCCGGACACGAGGGCCCCACCGGGTGGGCGCAAAACCCCGGGAAGGTGACCCACCCAACGTCCACACGTGGACGCGTCCGCGTGGCGTCCGGGCAGAGGCGGTGCGGCAGTTGGCCCAGGACATCGAAGCCTTGTGGCAGAAGTTGCAGGGCAAAGCGCAGGCGCTTGAGGGAAGGAATGAACATGAGTATAACAAGTTTTGGTGTTTTCATGAGTTTTTTGGTGATGGCAGGCGGAAGTCCTGTTGCCTGCCGGAAGTTTGATTCAGCACCACAGGAGATTCATCAACACTGTGGTGAATCATTGTATACTATACACTGTAGAGTTGCCCAACAAAGGGTGTGGAATGGTGTTGGGTGTGGTTCTTTTTTACAACCCCATGTGTTTTGCAGCACTGTGTTTTTGGCAGCACTCCTCCTACCCATGCACTCTCTGAGGGCCAAGACACCTCAATTCTGCTGGATCGAGTCGACGAATGCCCGGCGGACGGTTCTTCTCCAGGGTGGCCTGGCGGACGCGACACGGGCAGCAGAGAAGCTTTGCCAGGAGAGAAGTGTCTTCTTCTGCAGTGCCAGCAGAGTGGTCGTCGTCATCGTCGTCATCGTTGTCGTCGTCGTTGTTGTTCATGTTCTTTCAGGCTTTTGATGCACTTCTAGTAAGGAAACAACGTGTCATTCGCAAATGATTCTCAAGCAGGGATTTTTGTTGCAAGTTTTGAACTGAGCGAGGAGAAGATGGCCGTGACCGATACGGCCCTGAAGACGCAGGTGGGACGACGATCATGACATGTTGACGTCGGGACACAGAAGACAAAGACGCAGATATCAAGAGAAAAGCAAAGCAATCGCATGGATCCTCCATGTAAAGAATCCAGTCCTTAGCAGCATTTCATGAAGCTAAACACTCACAGACTCCCCCGGCTTTGGGCAGGATCTGCCTTGTTTGAAACATCCGTTGCAAGTGTTCCAGATTGTGTGGAAGAAATCCAGGAACGGGATCGCCAGGTTGCTTGAGAGTCCTCGGATCCCACATTTGCTCCAACATCAGGATAGTTCAGGATGTTTTCACCAACTCGGTTGGTAGTTGAATGTAGTTGATATGGTGACCCCAAAATAGATAGAAGAGGAGCTGGTTGCTCTCCAAACCTGATTGCGGATCGTTCTCTTCAGTTAGGCAGCTCTCTATACAGTTCCTCCTTCTGGCCTTTCGCAGAACTTTCCACCTTTCGCACGTTCGTCTTGCCGATCTTCTCGCCTGCCGCGCCGTTCCTGGCGGCCTTTCAGGCCGAAGCACTGGAGCACCTGCAGCAGAAGCTGAACGTCGTGGAAGAGCCACGTGGCACGCGGCGGGTTACCGGGAGGTGCTGGTCGCGGGTGGAGTGTGGGACGTGTGGGGGAGTTACGACCTTCGCGTTGGGCGCTTGGGCGCTTGGGGCTGGTTAGTGGTGGGTTGGAGAAGGAAAACACTTTGGTTGTGAGGTTGGGAGACTGACTACATGTGAGAAATTGGCCTGGTGTAACTCAAGTTGAGTTGCCAAACCCCCTCCTTGCCACTTGACAGTAGGAGCCGGAACACTGAGCATCCATCCTGCCAAATCTGACTCGTGCAATATGAACTCGTAGGACTTGCCACATGCTGCTGCATCCCAGATGGACTCCGCTCCGCGGACTTCTCCTGGTGGAACCCTTGGCCAAGGTCGGTGCGCATCAAGCTGCAAGCCCTGATCAACAAGCTGGTGCGCGAGCTCAGTTTGGGTTTCCCCTTCACTGCACACGTACAGCGAGCTCTGCGCGAGCTCTGCGCGAGCTGCGCGAACGGTTGCGGTTCCGAAGCGGTTCCGTGTTCTTTTTGGGGTGGCTGGCGGCTGGCCGCCCGAAAGAGCTGATTGGGGTTGATAAGAATTGCACCCTGCAGATGTATCAGCATTTGTGAGGTGTTGCTGCTGTTCAAAATACTTCTAGAAGAGCATGGCCTACATAGCTGGCTTGGCTGCATTTCCATTAGGGATGGTCAATCGAGCAAGACACCACTGCTCCAGTGCTTGTCACTGGGCTCCACAGAGATCGAATGTTTGCTCCTTTATTCAATTCTCCATCCTTCAAAGGAGGCCTCCCAGTGACCCTCCCTATTGCCCTGCCGCCTTTCAGGACAGCAAGTGCATCGAGGGGCTGGTACCGGTCTTGGCAGACCTAGGCACCAACTGCGCCTGCCGCATCCGGGTTGGAGAAGGAGGTTCATCGGGTTGATTGGGTTTATAGGAGATGAACTCAGTCCCGCGACGTTTTTGGTTGCTCGTGCAAAGGCACGCGGGCAGGCCCTGTGGTGATCAGAAGACATAGCTTGACAGATCACAACGTTCTCATCTTGGGGCATGACATCGTGGAGCATCCGGTTGGCATCACAGAACTGGTATATGATTCATGCTTCATGCAGATTGGATGATCCTTCCAGTCACATAGTTCTCTCATTTTGCAGCTATCCATCGATGGACCATGAACCCCAAACATCTCAAGGACAGATAGACAACAAAGATGCTCTGATATAGCAATTAATCCAGGTTTCTGAAATGATTCCAGTATATATAATTATATATATATATAATTATATATACACACACTGTATAATTACTCTTTGTTTCAATGGGTCTTATGTTGCCCATCAAAGAGTCCGGGCAAAACACATCCTTCTTCCCCTTGGGTCTCCGCCAGGCTCTGCGCTGGTTGGGTCTCGCCCCAAGATGCTCAGTGTGGAGAAGATGGAGACCAGCCGCTTGGCCCGGAGAACTGTCCGACGACGCTTTCCACCGACCGGTTGGTCGGGGATGATGGGTTCTGAGGCACGACTTGATGTGCGAATGCCAGTGCGTCATTCCATCAGTTTTACGTGGTTTTACATGTTTTACTGCTTTTTCTCTTTTTGCGGGGCTGCGACGAACGAAGAGGCTAGATGACTTCAGGGGGCTTCGACGATGGGTTGGGGATGGGTGAAACCCTGGTGCAACAGCTTGCTTGGGGATTCTTGAACTCGAGCGCTGCCACGTTTCGTTCCTTCGAATGTGCAGAGCTCGGAAGGGTGAATTCTTTTAGGCCCTGGCGGCACCGGTAATGTGTCAAGCCTTGGAGCAGGTGGAGTTGACCGGACAAAAACTATGCCAAGGTAATCCAAGGTATGTGAGTGACCTACGTGAACCAGGACATGACATGGGGGCCCGGGAGAGATTCTTGATACTTGTTGATGGTTTGGAATCGAAAGCAGTTTCTTGGAGATGATTTTGACATCCCAAGCACCCTCTTTCCAACCACCTAGGTACTCACCATCCATCCTTGGCAAGTGTTTCCATGCAAACCATCTCCATTCAAAATTCCAGGTTGTTTCAACATGTTTCAACCAACCGAGTTCTTGGATTGCTTGGACTGTGTTCTTTGACTTGGACTTGCTGTTGCCAGTGTTGCCCCCATGTAATTTCAGGTTTCAACCCAACTCCCAGCCACTCTGGTCCCAGGCGGATGGTGTAGCCACTCCACCAGCAGCGGCGAGAGCCGTGCCAAGCGCGGCGGCGTGACGCCCGCGGCGCCGCCGCCCACGGTGGCCACGGCGTCGCCCGTGGCGTGCGGGTCGCCGCCGACGCCGAGCCCCGCGCAGGTGTGGACTTACGTGGGATGACCGGGGTGTGCATGCGAGGCATAAGGAGGCGTACTAAGTCTTTTTTAGAGTTTTGCAGGAAAAAGGTCCAGTCATACAGGAGGAGGTGGGGATATATGTTAAGGTTTGTCACTTTTTGTTTGTTCGGGTTGTTTCTTTTCGTCCACTTTGTGCGTGCAAACCGCAGGTATCCAGAGGCGCAGCAACTTGCAAACGCATGCAAACGCATCAAGTCTTAAGTTGAAGCTGCAGCCAAACACTTCGGCAATTTCCTCTCCGGGCTTTGGAAGGTTTACCATGAAACAGGAATGTTTTTTATGGTTCAGCGTGGAGTGAGAGTGGAGAGTCTACTGTTTCTTGTTTCTTGTTTTTTGGGCTTGGCCCTATTATGGGCCCTAGTTCTCACAGGTTCTTTGAGCAAGTCAGAAGATCCACTTCGACCAGCTTCGTCGGTCGTCGCACATGGGGCGACTGACGAAGCTGGTCGAAAAGGGATGAGGGGATTGGCATGGACCCACTGATCCACTCCTCGTTTGGCTCGATGCCCGGGCGCCAGGTGATCCGGCAGAGCTCGATGCGATCCTTGGAGGAGAGTCAGCAGATAGTGCCTTGGATGGAGCTGTGGCGGGAGGAATGTTTGAGAGAGGCGGAGTTCTTTCTGCTCAGAGCGACACTTCAAGTGGGTGTGGGCGTGACACCCCAATGGTCTAGTTGCTTTATTTTGGCTTCACAGCCGGCACCCGCCCAAGCTCTCAACATCCCTGAGCCTCGCCCAGTTCACCCAGATCCCCTGATCCGATCAACCAGCAAACGAACTGCCGAAGCCGAGCACAACTACAAGAAACCACGCCTCCAAGCCATTGGCCACCCCCCATCACCTCGCACACCCCCCAAGTAAAGCAGCTCTGGCGCGCCCTCGCGTCGCCTGGTGCGACCTCGCGTCGCCCGCGATCCCGACCGCTGAGGACGCGCTGGTGCAGGAGAATTTGCGGCTCCGCGAGGGCGAGTTGCGGCTCCGGGAGCAGAACTTGGAGATCCGCGAGCGGCAGCTGCGGATGCAGGAGGACCCGAGGGCGAGAGAGAGAGAGGTCCTTTTGGATCGCTCAGGTGGGAAGTTTGAACTGTTTGAACTGTGCAAAATCCAAACTGATTCAGAAGTTGTTTGATTACCGGAAGAGCATTGAAACGAGATGAGATCTGGTTCAGGGAGGTAGAAAACACCGCTTCAGTACGAATGGAGGATGAATGCAAAAACGACTATGATTCTATGATTGCAGGAACTCCACCCCTACCTGATTCCCCAAATCACATGTTTAAGCGGGAGCTCGACGGCCTTCCGGTCCAGCTTGCCCGCAGCTTGTCCCTTGAAGGACTCGGAAAAAGCACCACCAACCGGATGTTGCGGAAGCTTCAAAGCCCTTGCAAAATCTGAACATGTAACAAAAACAGGAATGATTCCACATGTCTATTTTTCCCGCTTGCCACCTACCGTAGCCTTCTAGTTGTTCCAGAGGATTTTCCACCAACTGGAGGCTTTCCATTTCCACTTCTGATGCACGGAGGGCACCGGTGCCAGACCAGTCGTGACGGGTCCCCGACCAACGAAGGAGGCTTCTTCGATAGTACCTGGCTTTGTACGAGGTACGTGGCACTCGGCGGAGCGCACCTGAGACCTGAGACCTGACCACACCCGAAGGGGGCCGATCCGGCCATGTGGGTGATGGGATATGATATGATGGTGTGGGGGCCTGATCCGGGATGAGAGCACTCCGGAGGAAAACTGGTGACCACATGTGACCACATCCTTCTTTCTTGAGAAAAGGGAAGACCGTTTTCAGCTGGTGCTCTCTAAAAATTCCGTTTTGGCCGGAAGGTTGTTCCGGTTGTTGTTCACCGCCCACCGCTCCCAGTCGCCAGGCACGGGGAGCGCGCGCTCCCAGTCGCCGCCCACGGGGAAGGCGAACTGGAATGGGTCGAGTGGTGGATTTGTACGATCGGTGTATAACCAGGGTGTAGGTGGAGGGGGAAGCAGATGTTTGGCAGTTACAAAGTCTCAAAGTTTCAAAGTCTTTGTAGTTTTGCGTGATCTTCACCATGAGGGCAAGCAGGATGGGGCTTTTGACAGCACTAGTCACTTTTTTGAATTTTTTAAACGGGTATTGGCCCACCATGGGGCTGGGATCCACATGTTGAATCCAAGATGTTTACTTTCCAAGTGATGCAGGGCGAACTCACCACATGTCACATGTTCTTCACGCCACGCTCTCTCCCCTGCTCTGCTCGAACACCATCCCACGGCAGGCTGCTGGGCCTGGGCCGGCCGGCTCCGTGCTTCGGGCCAATGGATTTGGGACAGGACATGAGATGTGAGAATTCGGGCCATTTGGGCGAGGACTTTCCCGCCAAAACCACAGGACCGTCCGCCACCATGGTGGCACGGGACATATCAACGGTGTCTGAGCATGGAGCACCGTTCGCGACCATGGTGGCACGGGGAATCATGACAGGTTGGTGCTTTCGGGTTGCTCCCAGAGTTGGGTGACGATCTAGAAAGAAAGTGGTGCTGGGTAGACAGTGACTTGTAATTCATGGCAATCCACATCGATAGACTTGTGCGCAGGTGAGTTGTCGTGATGGAAGTGTGCTTTGAAAGGCAATAAGAAGGGTGTGTGTTCAGTGAGCAAGAGTGCGCAGGTGAGCTTAATGTGTGTGCGCAGATGAGGCAACCCTCCTGGCCCTAAACCCAAGGGTGGGGGAATCCCGTTGATCATGTCGGCCGCATTTTGGAGGGAGATGCAAAAAGAACTGTGTCCTTTTTGTGCAACTCATTTTTCAGAGGTTTTCTGGGTTCCTTCTAGCCTCCGCTAGTGTCTTGAGTTGGTCTGTCTCCTCCATTTGCGTCGATCCCGGTTTGTGCCGTGCCTCACATCAAACCATGGCCTTCATCGCATCAATCGCAACCCACCTGACTTCGCACCGTGGGATGAACGGGTCGCTGGAATGCTTCAGGTCTTGTTCCCTGGAGATGTTGCCACCTGGACACCCCCTCCACCGCTCCTTGAGATGACTTAGGTGAACCCTGCCGACCCTCCAATGCCTGGCCGTGGCCCGCCACGTGCCTCGGTGCCGCGCCATGCGCCCCCAGGTGGGGGCGGTCGTGGGGAGCGGTCCTGGTGGTGAGAGGGATAGGGCGAGAAGCACCTGAGGAGGGATTCGTTTTGGGGTTGACGGATGCATTTTGGGGCTCATTCAGAAGGGATGGGAGAAAGGAGCGTAGAAGCAAAGAAGGCAATGAAGGCAAGTATGTACAGTTTTATAAATAACATGTCAGTATTTGTATACGTGTGTCCAGACTTTGCCCCATATCGCTGGTTCATAAGTGTTCATACGGTGAAGTTGTGTATCCCGCATGGTGCATGGGTCCGCTGCAGGGCAGGTTATCCGTCCCACTTCACTCCACAACACGTTACCTTTGATTGTGTCCAGCAAAAACCTAGACAAACACGCTGAAAACTTCGTCAAACATTCTGAGTGAGGTAGTCTTAGACGACTATTCATATTTATAGGGACTAGACTGATTGGTGCTTCGCCGGGGTTTAGTTGAACCATTGTGCCACAATCAACCCTTCCCGGTCACGGCCCCTGTGCTTGCCAGGTGTGGCACGGGTCATGGCCTCTCCTCCGATGATGGCGCGCAATGGCCTGGATGCCAGGAGCGACCGTCGTGGGGGTTCAGGTCGGGTTGTCGCGACGGTCGCGCCGCGCGGCCGCGGCGATTCCCCGCGACGTCGTTGGGAGACTCGGAGCAAAGCAAGCCTCGCCGGCAGAAGCACCAAACGGCCTGACGGAGGCGGCCGACATCGCGGACGGGAGGTCGAAATGGACTAGAAGAAGATCGCTTTGGACTGTCACTCCAAAAGATTCAAAGCTAAAAACAAAGAAGTTAGGTAGAGCGGTGGATGTCCCATCTTGTTCACCTGAAGTGGTTTTCTCCATAGATCCCCAAAGGTGAGACTTTCGACGCCTCAGGTCATTTTCCCCCGATGTCTTGAGTCCTTTGGCGTTGCGCAATGCGTTCCTCAGGACCAATACTCCCATGGACCGCGTGATGAACGCTCCGCCCCATGCCCCGCTAAACCGGCGGACCCCATCCCCAGTCGTGCCTTGGATGGTGAAGTGGGTGTGATTCGGAGAGGGTAATTTGGGATTCGACTCTCCTTACTGCCCTGAGCCTTGAGGGATGAGGTTCCAGATGTGTAGCAGATGTAGGTGGCATGGTCCATTGCTGGCAGCCGAGTTTGCCGGGGGAGATTCGGAGATGCGTGGCAAAGTAGAGGGGCACTTTGGGGTGTCTGGCCCGGAGCGGAGGTGTTGAATCTAAAGCAACGGCCTAGCTTGAGATAAGTGCTCTATCGGGGTGCTCTTTCGGGGTGGTCTTCAAAGTGAGTCGATGTAGCTTGGGGTTTGTCCTTCAATGCACCATCAGAAAACCTTTGAATGGCAGGACTTTTGGACACATTGTGCAATCGTGTGGTGGAACTCCATTACTTTTTGCCACTGGCCTCCCAACCCAACCATCCACCATCCTCATCCGAAAATGTCCAGACCTGCCCTGGAATGGATCCATGCAAACTGAGAAAGTTTGCCAAGGTGATCCCCCATATGCAGGGGGCAGCTGGGCAGCAGCGTTCTTGACTTTCGTCAGGCGGCAGGTCAGGTTTGCTCAGGCCTTCGTCCAAATGAACATACGGGAAAACGAAGGTGTACAACGTGTACATTCCTGGGTGGTCAGACCTTCTGTTGATGTTTGTGCAGCCAGAGTTGGTTGGCCAGACGAGTTCGGCTGATGGAGGGGTTGAGCGTCTCAGGAGTCACCATCATTACAGACGTGTTCTGTCCTTTCTGTCGGCGTTTGGGATGTTCACCCATTCACCTGTATTTTTGACCCTGGACCAAGTACCTGAGATCTGTGTGCAAGATTCGTACTGCCATTTATGAAATGAAAGATATGGTTTGTGCTTTTGACTGAGAACTCTTCCGGAGCTTGTTCTTGCAAGACGTGTCTGCTATTTTTGACTTCTTCAGAGGCGGTGCCTCAGGTTTCAAAGTATACGAGCCCGGAAAACTGTGAATGCGGTCTTTACCTCCGTCCTTGGAAGCTCGAACATATTCATGCCCCGTCTCCATCATCCCTCAGTTTTGAGTTTGGGGTGAGATCTATCTAGAGTCTAGAGCTTTCCCAGTTTTTGCATGGATGTTCACCTCCCCCATTTGACACGCACCGATTGACCAGCCCGCGCTGTGCTTCTCTCCGGTTTCTTTCGCCGAGGAGTGCGTCAAAGCTGCGCCCGCGCGGCCGGGGAGGCACGAGAACAAGCCCCGGTGGAGCCCCGGTGGAGGGAAGACGAAAAAGGGCTGAAAAACAAATGATAGGCTTTGTCTACGGGGAGGAAGCGGGTTGCGCAAGCCGCAAGCTGTGCCGAGTCTGAGTGAACCTGAGTGAGTTTTGGGGTTTCACAGAGAGACCTCCTGATGGGGTCACTCAGTTCTTTGCCCTGAGGCCTGGGAGGCGTCCCCCAGGTGACCCTCCTTGGCACAAGTTCAGAAATGCTCCTTCATGTGAGCAGTTCTGTTTGGGAAGACTTGGCAGAAAAAGAACAGAACAGTTGAACATCTCACCATCTCTCACCTCTCCCAGAATCTGGAACCCCCCCAAAGACACAAAGACACAAAGACCGCCGCGGCCAGGTGATGCAAGCAGGTGGACTGCGGCTCCCGATAGATGCTGTTTCGCGGTCCTGCGGGGAGGAGCACACGAGAGGCTCCTCTGCCGCGCGGGACTGTCAGGTCTCAAGGTTAGACGGTTAGACAGCAGTGGAGTTGAAGAATGGCTATGGATTGGATGTAAATCTTGAAGGTGGTTGACAGGTGTCCTTCGTGAAGCCACCTACATTCATGGAGGAAAAGGTTTTGTAATGCTGGATGCCCTACTTATTCCCTTCTGGAATTCCCACATGGTGGAGTTGTGTGTATCTTCAGCTCCTGCAGTCTGCGGTGTGAGGGAGCCGGCTGGGCTGGTTAAACCACGCCAGCCCGTTGCATGAAGATCCCACCTGAGACTGAGAAGGGATTTGTATGGAATGGATCATGTTCAGTTCTGGGACAAAAGGAGCTGATCAGTTTACCTCCACCAGAACATGGTGCCTGCATGGCGCCCTGCGTCAGTCTCAGCTAGGCCGCATGGCGCAGGTCGATTACAGCCAACCGATGCCATTTCATCGGTCCATGGATGCTCGAGTGCTAACGGATAAACATCTATGGAAGAACCACATGGAGTCGCCTGGGATCAACCATTCTTTTCAGATCCTGCCCGGAACAAAGTGACGGTCTGACATCATGGGTTCGACCACCAAAGAGTCGAATGAGAAGTCTTGCGGACACTTTAACATTGATTCATGCCTATTTGTGCGGGTTGGCACATTGGATAAAGTACAATGAGGAATGAGGAGGATTCGTTTGTGAAACGGCTGAGTTATGACATGTTACTTAGGGAAAGCAACGACTTCGTAGTTGTGTTTCCGTCAGACGTCCACGTCCAATGTCTTGCATTCTGGATGACCAATCCTTGCAAAGCTCATGGGGACCTCTTCCAACAGAGGGTTGTTCCAGGAACGACATGACACACAACCAGGTTGGAACCTGATGTGCCGTTTTGGGGTTGGAACCTGTGACACCACACAGGTCCATCCGCAGGTCTAGCGGTGGTCAAAGGTGGGTTTGTTAAAGAAGGCACCACCGGGTCCAGAACCGCCTGCCCGGGCCATGCCGTTCTGAGATATGTCCGAAACAAACTTGGTTTGGTTCAGGGCAAAAGTGAGGCCATGCCAGCTTCCACGTTCTTTGAGCATCTGGACGTAGGGAACACCACGGGGACATAAAATACCCGGTCCCGACCCACCTGGGGCGGGCTCTGGTGTTCGTGGACTTCGCTTCTGTGCCATGCGAGCTGAAAAAAGACTGCAGACCGCTGTTTGGGGGGCATCTTTGGTCGGTGCACCTTTTTTCATGACGGCGCCAGGCTGCACCTCCTGTGGGTCCATTTGTCAGGCTGCCAGGCTGCCAGGCTGCCCTGCTTGAAGGACCTTGTTTATAATTGTTTATATAGGAATTGATCCGCATTCAATTGACTCGTGAAAACCAGGGCGCTGCCCGGTTACGACACGGTGTGCGCCAGAGTCATCCCAAAAGCATGACAGGTCAACCTTTCGGGTTGTCAGTTTCGTTCATTGCGTAGGGGTCAACCGGGGTTCCAATGTGCCATGACCGTGTTGCTTTTGGACTGCGTTGGACGTCTGGGGTCTGGGAGCGGGATTTTCAGACTGGGAGCACTGCGAGCAAGGTTATTTAGCAAACTGAACTCACACGAAAATCAAGGGCCTGGTGATCTATATCAACGACCTTTGTTCGCTTCCCAGCTCGAAGAGATCGTCCGGACCACGGAGGTCCTTCGCGGTGATCAGCTCACGGTCCATGCGAAGCTTCACGGGCGCCGGCGCTGGGGGGCACTCCAGTGTTTTGGAAGCACCCACCAGTTTCGCCCAGAATTGTGAGTTACTTTGACGCGCGTTTGACGCGCGCAAACCGTGATTTTCACCCAGAAGCCCGGTTTGTGCGGATGAACGCCTCTATTGTCAATGGTGCAATGATGGGTTTGGGATCGCCCTGATAGTCTCCAATCGGCCATCCTCGAGCGTGTCGAGCAGGCCGACCATTGTGCTGCAGTGGTTCGCAGGGAATGTGTACATGCAAACACTGAACACAATTTAGCAAAGCATTTCATCAGGAGTCGGGAGCGATTTCTTGTTCGTTTTTGGACCGAACTGAAGATCAGAGAGAAACAGCAAACAACCAGCGTCAACTGCTCCCTGAGCGCACAACAAAAGAGCCACCAGAGCTGTTTTTTGAGAAACAGAACCGCCCTCAGTTGGAGCGACCTCAGTTTTCGGGTTTCGAGGAGGATCCACCGACTGAGCACGTGCATCCGACTGAGCTGCACCGTTCCCCGCGGTTCCGACAGCTCCATGCCCTGCAATTCACCGGCGGGCAGTGCTAGTCCGGCAATAGGCGAGACCGGTGAGACGAGTGTGGGACGAGGTGAAAGGTGGAAGCCTTTTTTTTGAGGCTTGTTCAAGTGCCACGGATGCCTGCCAGGTATTCTTCTTTCGATGAAAGGATCTTTCCTGTTAGGAAAGGGGTCGAGTCAGAGTTTGGAAGCTTTAGGGAGACAAGATGAACTGGAGGAACCGTCGAAGAAGATTTGCGTTTGCCATCATCCGTTCAGTGGATTGCAGCTTGAGATATTCTTTGGCATGGCGTTTGCACATATGTGCATCACGATGTTCTTTACGGCCAGTGGTCTAGAGAAGAGTTCGGAACGTTTTGCAACACAATTCTGTCGGGTGTGCCATGGTGTGCGAATCCCTGACAGATGTTCCAAAGGTTTGGTCTTCGCGGCTTTGCAGATCTCCCAGACATATTCCTGGCCTCTCTTTGCATATTCAAAGAACAAAAAAAACGCCCGGAAAAACCTCAGCAGTTACTTTGTTTAATTTTGAGTTTGTGTATGTTTGTATTTATTTTTTTGAGTTCTTCTTTTGCGATGCAAACCTCCGGAAGGAGTCCTACCCACTCTGGCAGGTCTGACGGAGGGAAGGAGTGTACGAAACTGCGCAGGTCAAGTCACCAAAACGAGTCATAACAGGTTGCCTCAACCGGAGCTTGCCATTCCCTACTACTACCGACCTTTCCTCCACCTTGCTTTTGTCAAACTCTTTCATTTGGTTGAGTTACAGTAATTCAATCTATTCAGTTTTTTCAGCTGAAGTTGTCCCGAAGATGGAAGACACCACACGACGATACGCGGGTCAGGACGACGACGCGACATCACCGGACGTTTTTCCATGGCAGGTGTGGAAGTGGAAGCTGCCGATGCAGGCGAAGATGACCGGGACGTTTTGGTTGAAGTCCACGTTATGGGAGACACTCCTAGTCGAACCAGCGCAACAACGGCTCACAAGTGTTTTGAGATATTCATGGGGCCTGACCATGACCCGGGGAGATTCCAAGTGAGGTGTTGGTGAGTTATCAAGTCTTGCGACGTCTTACGGCTTCTCAGCCTCCAAAGATTGTTTGGTGGAGTTCATCCCCTGTTGGGTCTTCGCAAGATCATTTCTCTTCGAGGCTGCTGACGCACCATGTCTTGAAGGGAGGGGAACCAACCCAACCAACCCGATTATGTGTGTATATTTATACATATACTGTTAAACAAAAAATATATAAAGTGTATAGACCCAGCCAGACCAAACCCAAATCATCACTGACACTTACGGCTTTTCAATGCGTGAAACTCATCCTCTTTCTTTGATCGCGAAGGCGTCTGCACCGCCCAGGCGTCAGCAGCGCAGTGAAGATCCAAGTCTTGGAAGACGAACTTCTCCTGGCGAGGTGCAGTGAATGCAACAGCAGAGCCCAAAAGGGTTAGTGAGTGGTGTGTGCGGGGAAAGAGGTGTGGTGTGCCCTCCCAAAAGAAACTGTATTGAATACCCCCCCAAATACATCCCTTTTCTCTACACCTCTGCACCTGAAGTATTGACTGGTTGATGTATCCCCAGTTCACTCGATGGTCACTCCTCCTGTGCGACCGCTTAGACTCGTCCGGTTCTCGAGTCGGTGCTTTCGTCTCGATCGGTCTCTCCGTGCGGACTCCGATTCTCGGTGTATCGAGAAGGGTCTGAGTACTCCGATGAAGCATTATACTCGTATCCGTCTACTCACCTACTATATATATATATACTCACATCAGTACTCACTGAAGTGACCAAAGAACCCTGGAGAATCTTTGCTCTGTTCATATTTCCCATCCGTTCTTTTTTTCAGTTTTGCCACGGGGCAGCTTTTCACAATTAAAGTGGTCCTCCTATGCTGCACGAGACTGCTGCCCCTTGCCCACCGCAAAGCCCTCAGTTTCCTTTTGTGCCGTTTCTCAGAACGAAAAAGTGCCCTTGCAAACATGGAAACACATAGATAGACCTCCAAATAGGTAGAAAAGTAGATCCCCACTAAAATTGTATTGGACACCGTGCCACTATCCATTTGGGGACCACTGTAGGGCCCTGTTTGGGGATGATTGAAATTCACCAGTCAACTGGGTTGGAGAGCTGGTCCTTGCGCCAGGCGCGACCGCGGCGAGCTGGAGCTGCGCGCCAACCGTCCGTCGCGTAGAGTGGGAGGGGAAGCGACACGGCCGGGGAGGTAGGTGGCAGGGGTGGCAGGTGGGTGTTTGCAGTCTGTTTTGGGGTTCAACATGCGTTTGTCTGACTGCGCACTTTCTTTTTTTTTTGGCTAATTTGTTTGGTTGGGGGATGGGAGGTGGAGCAAGACTCCTCCCCCTTCCAACCAACCGTGCTACTTGGAGGAATCGCGGGTTCTGAGTTCTGAGTTCACCACATTGGTGCGGATTTGCTTCGCTCCCCGATCGGCTGGTTCCCCCCCCCACACACACACACACACACACACACACATACACACACACACACATACACACACACACATACACTCCTCCGGTGCTTGCACCGCGTCAACTCCTCCGGTTCCGTGAACTGAACTGAGGGGCCAGTGAGCAGCTGGAGAGGCTTTGGCAGGTGGGGCAAAAGGGGTTTCGATGTTTGTTAAGATCGTGGGCTTTGGATGGGTGTGTTTCCAATGTTAATCATGTTTAAGCCTTAAGTAGCTTTGGATGGTCACCGTGGATGTGAAGATCCATCTGGGATTACATCGTTAGCACATGTGCCACAGGGCTTGCTCCGGTGCCCAGCTGCGCATTGGTCCAAAGAAGGACAAACA